AATTGGATACCATTTAACACATTTTATTTCAACAGACCATTAGCTCTTTTAATCCTTTTTAGACCTTAAAAGATATTATAAAAAACTTTATGTCATACAAGGAAATAGAATTGGGAATAGTAATTCATGCTATTTCAGAATTTTATATTACTTATAATTTTAGTTAAGTATAACTATCAATGTACCTTTGATAGTCATAGATCTAAGTCAGCTAATCTAAAATCATTTGAAATACCAATTAACTAGTTTATAGTTGGTGTATTTGGTTGGAAGGAAATCTATTGTAAGAAAACCATGATAGATAGTTAACAATTAATAGCAAGTTATGCATACTGTATCTGTTATTTTCATATAATTTTGATCATGGTAAAGAGTAATAGTTATTGAATTTTAAAATTATGGTATTTAAAACCACTCTATGACTAAAGCACACTAAAATGAATGTTAAAGCACAATCATTATTATTCATAACTTCTGAATAATAGAAATGTTTAATGATTGATTTCAGTTCTTCTAACCCCTGGATTTGTGATATTTGTGATAATCAGGAGTCCAGAGAGTCTGCATCCATTTTAAGTATATATCTTCAAAGCATCTAATAATGTGTTAATATTTACTCCAATATGAGGACAGAATTGAACCAAAAGTTTGATTTATAGGGCAGCCCCGGTATCTTATCAGTTTAGCGCCGCTTTCAACCCAGGGCGTGATCCTGGAGACCGGAGATTGAGTCCCACGTTGGGCTCCCCGCATGGAGCCTGCTTCTCCCTCTGCCTGTGTCTCTGTCTCTCTCTGTGTCTCTAATAAATAAATAAAATCTTTTTAAAAAAAGTTTGGTTTATAATTCTTAACTTAAGACTTAGATGGTATTTTCCTGACTTTTTTTGAAGAAAGCTCCAAAAGCTGGTTGTCAGAATGCCTATATTTCTTAATCAGCCTATTTTGTAATTCAGAGTTACATAATAGTAATGACATACAAGAATGTATACAACTGTACTTAATTTTTAAGTTGGCTTCCAAATTGAAAAAATGAAAAAATCCTGGAGTTCTTTAAAGGCATACATAATAGAGTTCATATATTAATTTCTAGGAAATGAATAAAGATGCTATAGTCCATTTCAGTCTAGTCTTTTACTATGTAATATACATTTATGATTTGTAAGTTTTTATTCAACTGGGTGATGATAAATGAACACAAAATTCATCTTTTTAACAGGCATTTATTTTTTTGGCCAAACAAGTTAAAAACTGATTTATGGAGCACCTGGGTGACTTAGTCAGTTAAGCATCTGACTCTTGATTTCGGCTCAGGTCATGATCTCAGGGTGGTGAGATCCAGCCCTGAGCGGGGCATGGAGTCTGCTTAAGATTCTCTCTGCCCCTCCGCCCACCCCCTGCTCTCACTCTTTCAAAAGACAAAACCAAACAAAAAAACACCTTATTTAAATATATGTTAGCAATTTTATAAGTTTAAGAAATCTATAACATTCTCACATTTCTTGAAAAGCCTGTGAATATGAGGTATAAGGGAAGCTGAACATACCTGGGGCCTAGTAACTACTTTTGGAATGAGCTAAATCTATTTCATTGGGTTATTGGAGGAACTATGCTGCAAAAGGACATTGTAAAAAGAAATGTGTCCATATGTAAAGAATCATTACTATAATCACTGTCCTGATCTGGGATCCCCCATAGCTTCTGGATGAAGATGGCATGGGAAGATCTTAGTCTAGTTAGGGATTAGGCCAATTTGAAGCTGAGCATCAGTGTCTGTGAGGGCTGTTCTATTTCCAGTTCACCTCTATTCTCAGGGTGCAGTGCTTTAGAGATCCCAAAGGATTCCCTATGGGTGTGTACTGGGGCTTCTTCTTGGGGACCCTGGATTCCTACCTTTGTCCCCTCTTTCTGTCATTCTCTCCACCCCTATATGATTACTGAAAGAGCTGTTCAGCTTCTCAGTTTCTCAGCTGCAGCTTTCTGCCAAGTTTCTTAGCCTCCAAGTCACTGCTTGCTAATTAGCAAATACTTTAAGTGGAAAAGCAGTGCCAAATATAATCTCTCAGCTTCTATCTCTTGGCCCTTCAGGTTCTGGCCACTTTCATAGTTCTCCAATGAATTGAAACAGATTTTTAAAATACTATCCACTGGCTTTTCTAGTTTTTGTGAGATGTTTGGTCTGCAGCTAGCTAATCTTTATCAAAGGCAGAAATCTGATTTTGGAGTAAATTATTTAACTTCTTTGAACCTCAGTTTTTCATCTATAAAATAAGATAATCTAATGGAAAACATTTCCTAACTTGTGTGGCACATAGATAGAGTTTATATGGATCCAAAGTACTTTATATTTTCTTCTTACTGGGAAACAAGGCATCTAAAAGTGATAGCATAAAATAGTTTAGCCTCATTCAAGAGCTGCAACTCAAACAGGCTGCTAATGGGAAGAGCTACATAGTGGCACGTACGTAGTTGAAGTAGTGGCAACAACTCAACACTTCCAAGAAATTGTATTAAAAGATATAATAATATAACTGTAAGTTAGCTGAAGTATAGATGTATGTGCATCCAAGGGGTAGAATTGGAGGACAACTGTACTCTTCCAGGTTCTCTCTCTATTGAGACTGACTCTGGGTATTTCCTCCTTGCCCCTTTGGCTGTAATCTCAGGTCCTGGCCTTGAATTTTCTGCTCATTCTCAGCCCTTACCTTCTAATTTTCTCTCTTGTTCCTCTGTGCCCACTCACTAGGATGCCTCTGGCTCCTCCACGGTTTGGGAACGGTGGTAGGGAGGAGAGACAATGAGTAGAAAGTTCTGTTTGGTCTGATACTGTTGTAAGTTGGCATCAGTGCTTTCTGTACTTGGTGAGTATTTAGCGCTGACTCATTCTCTGGGGGTGTTTTGGAGGAACTTCCCACCTTCTTATTTTTTGGGATCTCTTGATGTGACTGGGATGTCGAATTCCTCTCCCTCACTCTAGGAATATAATGCTCAACTCCACTGGGGTGTCACTTCACCCTTCCAGAAATTTTACTGGACAGGGTCTAAGCCATCCTCTGGCCAAATTGCTGCGTGGGAGATACTCTCGGCATGAAAGACCTCTCCAAATGGATCTCTCTTTCTTTGCTCAGCTCTCTGGCCACAAGCCATTGAATTTCTCAGGATGAATCAACAGCCCACTCAGGCCCCAGTCTGTAGAGATACATACATACCAAGCTCTCTAAGTGGTCTCCAGCAGCAAGCCTTTCCTGAGACATGAGACGGGTGGTGCTTACAGCCCACTGACAACAGTCCCCATATCCTATAAGAATTCTCTCAGCCTCTCCAACCCTTCTTTGTAGACTGGAAGTCATACCCTGGTTTCTAGACTCCTCTTCCACAAGTTTGTATTTTTCTTAACATGGCCACGGATGTCCTCAAGATGCCCCAGGCTGGAGAGGGAAAAGTGAGGTGCTGCCCCCAAGTGGTCTTACAGGCAGAAACACCAAGGAATAGTTGGAGTGAAAGAACCGGAAAGAAAATAAAAGTCAGCTGTAATCCACCACCCTGAGTATAGGTGTTTGTGTTGTGTGTGGAAAATTACTGTAATAGTCACTTTTATGTCATACACACTTCTCTTACTTAATATCTTCCAAAACATATTTTTTTAGATGGCAGCCTAGTATTCCACTGTATGGCCATGCCACAATTTAAGCAATTTATTTTTGGGCTCTCAGGGAATAAAGTTCTTTCCTATCACATACAATCCCATAAGGAATACTTTGCAGTATAAGTCTTTGTGCACGGCTCTGGTTATTTTCTTGTGACAAATGAACAGATGTGGAATCTACTGGGTAAATATCTATTTACCTATCTTCATGTTCCTAATACTCATTGCCACACTTTACTTCAGGAAAATTGTACTTACTTAGCTCTCACCAGCAGCGTTTGGGGGTGTGTGATAAAAGCCATTTTAGGGGATTCCTGGGTGGCTCAGCGGTTTAGCGCCTGCCTTGGGCCCAGGGCGTGATCCTGGAGTCAAGGGATCGAGTCCTGAGTCAGGCTCCGTGCAGGGAGCCTGTGTCTCTGCCCCCCCCCCCCAACCGTGTCTCATGAATGAATGAATGGAATCTTAAAAAAAAAAAAAAAGCCATTTTAAATGAAAACCTTTGTTGGATGAAAATTACCTGGTACTGAGGATCAGAATCAGGGCAGGACCGTGCTCTGAGCGCCGAGGGTTAGGAGGCTGGCCCTGGCAGGAATCCATGAGAACCAGCCTCCTCGGTTCAGGGTCCCGAGGAGTAAGTTCCTGCACACGCGCTTAGCCAGCTTTCTCAGATTTTGCAGAGGCGCCCCCAAAGCAGATCCAAGGGCAGCTCGGCTAAGACCCTGGGGCAGGACCCTTTCTACCCCGTCCGCTCTCAGCCTCGATTTCTCTCCCGACAACTGGTGATACAATCAATCTCCGCCCTGCCAGCCCCTCCGGGCAGTCGAGGGACTCCAAGGAGATAAAAACGCGAAGGAGCGTAGCGCACTCGTATGTTACTAAAAATAGCGCGAGCCGCGGGAGGGAGGAGCACCCGGCACTGCAAGGCGGCGGGGGCGGGGGCGGGGGCGGGGACGCTCGGAGCGCGCCCGAGCCCGGCACCGAGAGGAGGCTCCAGACACCCAGACACCCGCGCCCGCGCCCGCTGGCCCTCCCCCTGCTCCGCCCCCGCCACCTGCAGACCGCGCCCCAGCGATGGCCCCGCCCCCACAGACCCCGCCCCCACCCAGACCCCTCCCCTGCTCCGCCCCCGCCCCAGCAGCCCGCTCCCCAGAGTCGGCCCCGCCCTCACGCAGACCCCGCCCAGCGCCAGCTCCACCCCCGTCACAGACCCCGCCCCCGGCTCCCACGTCGGCCCCGCCCCCGTGCCGGCTCCAACCAATCACTAACCCCTCCCGACAGGGGCCACGCCTTCGCCGTTGGCTCCGCCCCCGGACCCGCCCCTCCGGGTCCCTAACCCCGCCCCGCGGGCCCCGGCCCGACCCCTCCCGGAAGCGCCGGCGGAGCGTCCCCACATGGAGCGCGAGCCGAGCGCCTCCGAGGCGGCCCCCGCGGCCGCCGCGCTCCTCGCCTGGGTACGTGACTCCGCCCGCGGGCCGGGCCTGGGGCTGAGGGGGCGCGGGGGGCGCTGCAGGCGGGCGGCCGCGGCGTGGGCGGCCTCGGGCTGGGCGGCGGGGCTCCCCGCGGGGCTCTGGGCTGCAGGGCCGTGGGCGGGGGCCTTCGCGGCCGAGGGTGGGAGGGGGCTCGCCCGGTGCCGGGGGGCCTGCTGGCCGGCGGGGTCCGGACCCAGGGGGCTGCGGCGCGGCGGGAGGCATCTGCCTCCTGGGCGGAGCGTCCGGTTCCGCGAGAGACCCTGAGGCCCGGAGAGCGCGGGGCGCGGCGGCGTGGGGGCATCGCCCCGTCCCGGAGCCCGGTGGGGCCACCTGTGCCGCTCCCCGCCCGGTGGCCCGGGGGATGCTGGCCCCTCCGCAGCCGCACCCCGGCCTGGCGGGAGCACCCTGGGATGCGAGGCCTGCGGTGCTGGCGGGCCGTGCACAAGGCGCAGATCCTGCATGTTTGCTGATGCGCTTCCGTGGCCGCGTCTTGCCTGTACTGGGGACGTGGGCGTCTGCGCCGGGGTTTGGCTGGCCCGAGGCCGCGAGACACGGGGTCATCTCTGTGTGTCCTGGCTAGGAGAGAACGGTCGCTGCCCACGAGTGTTCTGCAGGCGGGCGGGTGCGTGGCCCTAAGCAGACGGAGTGCCTTGTAGTTCTTCACCGCCCGTATCACAACTGCAATGAAATGCAGAATTTATTAATTGTCAGCCTCCTTGGCTAGAATGTAAGCGTCTTAAGGGGGGGTATTGTGCCTGTCTTGTTCATGGTGCCTAGCACGGATTGGTTGACGAATGAATGAATGAGACCCTTTTGGGCGCCTAGCTACGCGCTGGTCTTTTGGGGAAAACACAAAAGTGAAAGACCCGGTGTAATACCTATATTACTATGTAATAAACCGATAATACCTATATTACTAATACCTATAGCAACATGTACTGACTAGTCACAAAAGGTGATTATCAGCACCAGGCAGCACTTGTTGAATGTAAGGCTACAGAGGAGCAGGAGGGAGGTGGTGGTGTGGCCTGAGGTCGTCTGGCTGTCCGAGTACCATCTTGCAGGTGACCCTTGAGCTGGGGGTGGATTTGGGAATTGAATGTGAGCCTGGGGTGCCTGCTGGTTCTGGCTTTTCCCAGGTGGGAGACTGGGGTCCGCATGTCACATATGGCCTTGTCAACAGCTCGGAGGCCTGATGGCCTTCCTACTACACAATCTGCCTGGAGGAGGAGTGTATTCGTTTGCTAGGGCTGCCATAGAAAAATATACCGCAGACTAGGAGGTCTTAAAAAATAGAATTTTATTTCCTTACAGTTCTGGAGGCCAGAAGAACAAGGTGTCAGCAGGTTAACTTTCTTCTAAGGCCTCTTCCTTTGGCCTGCAGATGGCTGCCTTCTCGCTCTGTCCTCATGTGGCTTTTTTCTCTGTGTGAGAGCATCCCCATGTCTCTTCTTAATGTTGGATTAGAGCCCTAACTTTATGACCTCATTTAACTTTAATTATCTTTTAAGAGGCCCTGTCTCCAAATACAGACACATTCTGAGGTATAGGAGGCTGGGGCTTCAGCAAATTAATTTTAGAGGAGCACACTTCAGTCCATAACAGGGAAATTTACCTCCTTAGTGTGTGTGTGTGATATGTCTAAATGGTTTGTAAGGAAAGGAGGCAAAAATAGCTGTAATGTATTGTATTAAATTTTCCTTTGTTTTGCTTTATCCTGGATTTTGGGCCTCTGGCTGCATTACAGAAATTGAGTGCCATAACTTGAGCCCCAAGTGCCCCTATCTCTCTCACTTTGTGGTCAGCAGTCTGCAGTCCTGCTAATGGGGCAGCCGCAGAGACCTCAGGGCTGACGGAGACACACTGTGCATGTGTACCCCACAGTGTGCACATCTTTCCTTTCATCTTTCCTAGGTAGGGCCTCATCAGATCTTATATTCATTCATGAGATTCACTATAAAATATATATACACCTTCTCTGAGCCGGCACAGTTTCATATACAGGGAAGATGGCAGTGAACAAAACGAAGTTCCTGTCTCATTGAGTTTACTTTTTAGTAGGGGAGGTAGACAGTGAATAATAAGCAAATGTCATGTCAGGGAGCGCTATGAAGAAAAAGCAGAAAAAAAGGGGGATAAAGTGATGAAGATGTTACTGTAGATGCAGTTATATAGTTAGCCTCTTGCCGGGTCAGCTCTGGACTGAAGTTCGCCATATATCCTTAGAGACCCAGGATACTATAGTGACAGGAGCAGGGCATATCTGACTTATTGCCTTCCTAGCTAGGTGACTATGGGAAGTTCCTTAACCTCTCTGAGCCTTAGTTTCTTCATCTGTAAAACGAGAGCGATAATGTCCATCCCCTCTGTTGGAATGCCATGCCTTGGCGAAGCCCTCAGGAATTGGCAGCTAATACTGCCCCTGAAGGCCTCTGGGACCTGTGCCTCTGCTGTGGCTTGTTCTTCCAGCTTGGAGTCCTTGCAGCCCAGCACAGCTGTGAAATAGACCAGAGAGGCAGAAATTTGTATGTAGGGATGGATTTGGGGTAGTTGTTTTTAAATCATTTTTCCTCATTCAGGTGCCTTAAAAAACAAACACGGTTGGACGGTTTTACTACTCATTTCTAGGAAGAACCGGCCAGGAGTAGTAGATACTTGGAGGAATTATAAGGATTTCTGATATCTAAAGATTCCCTGGGGGTCTACAATTCTTTATCTTCGATTTTGAATACAGAAAACCTCTGAAAACCCAAAGCTGCCCTGACATAATGCTATTTATAGTCTTTGCCCACTTACTGTATTTGTTCTTCTTACTGCAGAAATAATAGCATTTTGCTTACGGGGATGCTGCTCCTGAACCTTGCAGCAGTGTATATGATTTATATACGGTATTACTTTTCTGAAGCCTATAAAATTCTGAATCTGAAATACATCTGGCTGCAAGGGTTTTGGATTAGAGATTCTGGACCTTTATTTCATAATAACAAAGATGGACATATTGTCCACCAAGGGGAAATCTGTTCCCTTACAGGAATCTCACCACGTGAATCTTAGCGTCAGAGAACACTGTACTTGGAAAGGCCCTCAGAGATCATTGCCAGCCTCCTTCGCTGCACAATGAAATAACAATGAGGTGCCCAGCTGGAGGCACAAGGCCCTCAGCCAACTTTGATTACAGAAGTCATTGCCAGTTTTGTCAATGAGGGCAGGAGGAGAAGGGACAAGGCCAGTGGCTTTCCCACCCACTTTCTTTCCATTTCCCCTCCTTACTTCTTTTCTTAGCCTTCCTAGAGAATAGCTTTTATCAGAAGGAACTCCCATACTGTCTCCCAAAGGTGACACAGGTGGGCTAGGGCATTGGAAAGAGAAGGTGAGGAGTATCTTTGGATAAGTAGTGGATACTAAGGGCTCTTCTCACATGGAAATTGTGATGTTCTGGGGATGGAGCCTCCATCGAAGTATGGGTTGCATATAAAAACCTCTTAAGAATGAGCTTATGAAATCTCGTCTGTTACAGGCTCTGAGAGGCATGTCAGGATGAGAAGGACAGGGACAGCTGAATGCATGGCGACAATTGTGGTTCCTGGACTCTTTCATCCTTGCCTTATTTTATCCCTAGGGTGCAAATAGCTACGGGCAACTTGGCCTTGGCCATAAGGAAGATGTACTTTTGCCCCAGCAACTGGATGACTTCTGTAAACCTGAGTGTATCAGGAGGATCACGGGAGGAGGGGGCCACTCTGCTGTTGTCACAGGTAACATCCTTCTGGTGTAGACGTTTCTTTTTTCTTTTCTTTTCTTTTCTTTTCTTTTTTTTTCTTTTCTTTTCTCTTCTCTTCTCTTCTCTTCTCTTCTCTTCTCTTCTCTTCTCTTCTCTTCTCTTCTCTTCTCTTCTCTTCTCTTTCCTTCCTTCCTTCCTTCCTTCCTTCCTTCCTTCCTTCCTTCCTTCCTTCCTTCCTTCCTTCCGGATAGTCACAGAGAGAGAGAGAGAGAGAGAGAGAGAGAGAGAGACAGAGACACAGGCAGAGGGAGAAGCAGGCTCCATGCACCGGGAGCCCGATGTGGGATTAATCCTGGGTCTCCAGGATCGCGCCCTGGGCCAAAAGCAGGCGCCAAACCGCTGTGCCACCCAGGGATCCCCCCCCCCTTTTTTTTAAAGATTTTATTTATTTATTCATGAGAGACACACAGAGAGAGAGACACAGGCAGAGGGAGAAGCAAACTCCCTGCGGGGAGCCGCATGTGGGACTTGATCCCAGGACCCTGGGGTCATGCCCTGAGCCAAAGGCAGATGCTCAAACACCGAGCCACCCAGGCGTCCCTGGACATTTCTTATTTAGACATTTCCCACTATCGTGTTATGTTGCCATTTTTCAGCCTTTTGTGTTTTTCAGAGGAAAACATATTTGTGAAAGAGCCAAGTTACCATTAGAAAATTCTAGGTTGTTGGAGTTGAAAGGCCTATCTTCTAGGCTCCCCACCCCCATTTATGCAAATGAGGCTCAGAGAAGAAAACCGGTTGCTTAAGGTTACAAGACACATTAGTGGCAGAGTTGCAACAAATATATGACATTTTATACCAATACTGCTATTTAACTTTTGAGTTTATAAGTCTTTGCAATTTGATCGAATATTCCTTGAGAATATTCTTTTGAGATCAAGAACTTTGTGTTTTCCTTAATTTCCTTCGCAGTATCTATGATAGTACTTAACACGTACTGTAGGTGCCATGATATTGCAAAGGAGGGCATATTGCATCTTGGTTAAGAACATGAGTTCTGGAATCCACTGCCTGGGTTCAAATCCTGGTTTTATTATTAGCTGCGTGGCCTTGAGCATATTAATACCTCTGTGCCAGTTTCCCCTCTGCTTTATGGGGGTAATAATGCTGGATGAAGAGAGTCAGTGAGTGGCAAGGCTGGGTTATGACTGTCATGAGTCCTTGACATTTTTGCCTTTGTTGACCCCTTCCTCCATAAGGAAATACTAAGAATTCTGTTTACAATCATGTTGATATAAAGATTAGTCTAACCCTGGCTAGATTTAGCACTGTATGTTCATTATCATCACATTTATTGCTTTTCTTATTTTAAAAGAATGTAAAATTAAAACATTTTTGTGGGCCTCTAAAAGTATTGTGGGCCGTAGGCACTGTACCTAAAGGATAAATCGGCCCCACAGATAAAGCTCTTACAGTAATACCTGGCACATTCTAAATTCTAAATAAATGTCAGCTTTTCTTGTTATAGTATATGCTCAATTTGGTGATTGGCCACTGATCTAGGACTTGGAGTCCCAGGAGGAACTAGATTTGAGCACCTTGGGCCAGTGCGCATTAACATCCATGGCTTGTTAATATGAGTGGGAAGACTTGCTGGGTTTGTGACTGCAGCTAATTAATGAAATCTTTTTTCTCGCTTTGACAGCTGTAATTTCTTCTGTGTACACTATCACCAAAGCCTTTGCTTTCTGCAGATGGAGGAAGCCTTTTTGTTTGTGGCTTGAACAAAGATGGGCAACTGGGACTTGGTCACACAGAGGATGTTCTGTGTTTTACCTCCTGCAGATCCCTCCTTGGCTGTCCTATCCAACAGGTAGCCTGTGGCTGGGATTTTACCATTATTCTCACAGGTGAGTTCACTTCTGGGTAAATCTTTATCACTGCAAAGGCATTGGGTGAGAAGAGCTTGATGGTGGTGATACTGATTAAGTGAAAGCCTCTTTATATGTAAACACACATAGAAATTTCTCTCTGGTTGTCAAGGAAGTCTATAGGTGCCTTTTGCAAGAGAGTTTGAACAGCAAAATTTTGAGCTGGAAAATTTTTGCCAGCTCAGAATTTGACTATGGTTTGAATGTGCCGAATCACAGAGACTGGGGAATAAACTAGATCACCTTTGCTAGCTACCCCTGTCCCAGAAATTCAGGATAGCTGTGTGCCTGGGCTAGCTGGTCAGTCATACTGGCGAAGGGGGTTGCTCATGGAGGAATGTGTTGGGAAAGCATGAGGAAATCAGAGGTCGTACAACAGTAGTGGCAGAATTTCCCCAGTGAAGGATTTAAAAAAAATATATGGTTGGCCAGAACTGTTTGGTCTCTGCAAAGCTAGATAGCAGAACAGAATGCAGAGGGATATGGCCAAAGGGTTAATAGGATACTGCTCTTGGGAGCAGCAGCTAGCAATAGTTTCTTTTTGTCAGCTGACTTCTCCCTGGAAGTAGTTTTGCCCTGCCTAGCTTGCCATTCTCGATGGAAAAGACCATCTATAGTTTCTGACTAGATTCCCTCTTTGACTTAGACCTCTGGCAAGGGCATCTTATGGACATATCCTTCCCCAGCACACCCTTGTGGATTCTCATGTGCAAAGCTCAGATTCCCAAGCTTTTAGCACATGGCTTCAGTTATTGTTCCCTACCTATCCCTGTTGTTACCTTGTCTTTTATTTTCCATGCTCCCCATACTTCCTAGAAATATCATGCAGAACATTGTTCTCTGGTATAGCCCCTTTTGTCTATCTGATGAACTCTTATCCCTTCTTTAGAACCCTGCTCAGGCATCACCATCTCTTCTGTTAAGGGGTTCTGTGTAATTTAGTTGCTGAATTTAGTAGTAATAACTAAATAATAGCTGTCCTTTCTGAAGTGCTTTTCGTGGACTGTGTTGGGATTTTAGGGTGTCAGTGGATAACACCCTGTTTCCTGTTCACTTTTGGAACCTATTGTGGGAAAGGTGGAGAGCCGTCAGACAGCTGGAGATCACACTATTGGCTTTTCACTGATAAAGACTAAGTTGGAAGACAGAGTTAATGGTCAGGCCTAGGTGGTTCTACAACACTCCTCTGAGCCAGACTTACGCTGCAAGCACTGGGTTATTCCTGTAGGGGAAACACTCACTATGCATCAGTCCAGAGTACCTGAGAGGAAGGTGCCAAGCCACACATGTCCTGTTCCTTCTCCAAAACTCATCAATTTATTAGGTTATCCCTTTTCCCCTGGAAAGCAGTGAGCACAGGAAGGAGCAGGAAGAGAGGCCTGAAGTGTTAAAATAATGAAAATGATGATGCATGGAAATATGAAAAGTAGGGAGTATCTTCCCATCCCAGCCCCCCGGGCAGTGGGCTCATGTTCTACACAGATAAGCTGCCATTAATTAGGTAGCGTGATGGAGAATCTGTAAAACTAGCCCAGTGCCTCGTATTGTTATTCCTCGAAGAATAATAAAAGCAGGGACTGTGGTTTGAATGTGCTGAATTACAGGCCCCACTTCCTCCTTTCATTCCCTTTGCTCTTCTCATCTGTCAGCATTTACCTACCCACTGGTCACAGATAACTTCTTAGATTATGATTTATGCATTTGAATTTTGCAGAAAGTGGTCAAGTTCTGTCATGTGGATCCAATTCCTTTGGCCAGTTAGGAGTTCCTCAAGGCCCTCGAAGATGTGTGGTTCCCCAGGCCATTGAGGTAAGGCCAGCACCTAATATGTAGCTGACCCACGTCCTATTAAAGCATTTCCCTCCCCAGACTAGGAGACTGGCTGGGTCCCCAAAAACCCATGGGCTAGTCAGAATTTAAGTTGAAAAACCAAGATTCTTCTGGGAAAAATTAAGTTGGGGGGATGGAGGTTATGAGTGAAAAACCTCTGTTAGTCCTTATACACGTTATAAATTTTTGTGAAATAAAACAATGAAGGTAATATATATTACCAAGACATTAATGACATTTTAGAATTCTAAAATTAGGGATAATGGGAACTAGGTTAGAAACAGGTCCAGATAGAAGGGACTCACCTAAAGACACTAAGCTCAGCAAACGGTAGAGCAGGAGTGCCTGATAAAAATGTGATGGGAATCACACACGTAATTTAGAATTTTTTAATAGCACCATTTAAAGAGTAAAGAGAAAAATGTGAAATTAATTTTTAAAATCACAGGTTTATTGAGAAGTAATTCACATGCCATAGAATTTACCCTTTAAAAATGTATAATTCAGTGGTTTTTCATATATCACATAGACGTGCAGCCATCAGCATTATCTAATTTTAGAACATTCTCATCACCAGGAAAGAAACTGTGTACCCAAAGGCAATTACTTCCTTTTCCGCCCTCGCCTGGCCCCTGATGACCAGTCATCTGTCTCTGGATCTGCCTGTTGTGGGCATTTCACATTAATGGAATCATACAATATGTGGCTTTTTGTGTCTGGCTTCTCTCATCTCACATGATGTTTTTAAGTTTCATTCACCTTGTGCGTAGGCAAAATTAATTTTAATGACTTTTAAGTTAATCCAATGTATTCAAACTATTATTATTTCATTTAATGTGTCACTAATGTTAACATTTCCTAATGAGATACTTTATGTTCTCTATTCCATACAAGTTGAACTCTGGTGTAGGTTTTCTACTCAGAGGGCATCTCAGTTCAGCCGAGTCATCTAGTGACATTTCGGTTGTTCAGTAGCTCATGTAGCTCGTGGCTTCGGCCCGGACAGCACAGGTGCTAGACGGGACTCCTGGCCCTAGTTCAGAGCTCTTTCCACTGCCTCAAACTGAAAATACACACATTTTCGTGAAGTTTATATGGTAAATGGTCGTGATAGGACTGTGGAATTGTAAAAGAAATATACTGGGATCTAAAAATCAGTTTCAAAAAAAAAAATCAGTTTCACCATCTCAGCTGCTCACATCCAGCTAATTTTCTTAAACTCTGACTCAGTGGGAGATCTGTTTTCATGGAGAGGGGTTGGTTTGTTCCTGTCATGTTGCTGAATTATGATTGCTGCTCTGTGGGGTATTATTTGAGGTCATGATCTCTATAGTGTTTTAGTGTGTGTGTGTTTTTAAAGATTTTATTTATTTATTCATGAGAGACACACACACCCACACAGAGAGGGAGAGGCAGAGACATAGACAGAGGGAGAAGCAGGATCCATGCAGGGAACCTGATGTGGGACTCGATCCCGGGACTCCAGGATCACACTCTGAGCCAGAGGCAGACGCTCAACTGCTGAGCCACCCAGGTGTCTCTGTTTTAGTGTGTTTAGGCTGCTTAACAAAAATACCATAGACTGGGGTGGCTTCAACAACAAACATTTATTTTTCATATTTCTGGAGGCTGGGAAGTTCAAGATCAAGGCATTGGCAGATTTGGTGTCTGGTGAGGACTTGCTTCCTTGTTCATAGACATTCATTTTGCTGGATGAAGGAGCTCTCTCAGGCCCCTTTTAAAAGGGCATTAATCCTTCATGAGGGCTCCATTCTCATGACCTAATCACCTCCAGAAGACCTCATTTCCAAATACTATCACATTGGGTAATAGGTTTCAATATATGAATTTCAGGGGAAAACAAACATTCAGTCTGTAGCACATGGTATGCCCAGAAGTCTAGACTCTATGGTCCCTGTTGTAGGAAGTGTTACAGTTGCCAAATAGATGGCTTTTTAAGAACTTACATAAGTTATAATTAATTTAGCTGAGGTCACATGATTAAAGAAGACAGAAGGGAACAATAGTTAAAATATGTTGGATGACAGAGTCAGGAGGTGAAAACATTTGTATCCTCTCCAGCAATGGGAGGAATGTGCCATAATGAAGTATAATAGAAGTTCATTCGTTTATTTAGTAACAACAACCGTTGTTTATGTGTTTAGGCTGTGGGGAAAGAGGTGAGTGCAATCCAGTCTTAGCCTTGGAGGGTCTTAGAGTTTAGTGGTACGTGTTAGATATAGAAACACCTAAATGCATTGCCGTGTTGAAACTGGTAGATACAGGGATAGCCTCAAAGGAGGGAATATTTAACTCATTCTAGAGGCAGGTGGAGTGAGATCAGGCTTATGTTGAGTGTAGAAGTTTACCTGGCTTGAGAGAAGATGCATAGAGTAGGTATAAAAAGAACATTCCAGACAGAAGGGACTAAGGAAAAGTGTAGAAGCATAAAATATCAGGGTTTTGGATATGGCGAGCAGTTTAGTATAATTGGAATAGAAGGAAATGGTAGAAGTGCCAGTGGGGAGGGAACAATCAGGGAGGTACTGTAGGGGCAGATTGTAAGAACAGCGTGTTAGGAAGGCGCCAGAAGGGGTAATGTGGTGGGTGGAGTGAACAGGGCACCCTTGCTAATAATCCAGACAAGAGGTGAATTCTCATCCAGACTAAAGCAGTGGCAGTGGGGATGGAGAGGAAGGAATGGAAGTGAGATGAAGATATTGAAGAGATTGAATTTACATGTAAAACCCTTTAGTTTTTTTTTTTTAAGAAAAACATTTAAAGGATAATATGTTCAAATTGTATTAGTAGTAAGATTTGATCTTCCCCAAAGCTAATGTGATTGTGGGTTACATTAACAGAAGTATAGTCTCCAGAAGAAGGGAAGCCAGAGTCCTGTCCTTTTTTGTGCTAACCAGACTGCATCTAGGATGTTGTGTTCTATTGGTTTAGTGCCTAGGTCTTGGGCATAAAGGAGAATCAGATCCTGCCCCTGAGGGTCCTAAAGTTTAGAAAGACACTGAGGATCTGTAAATAAACACGTGTGCTCAGGCTCCCTGGGGGCTGTGATTGATGTACACACAATCTCTTTAAAAGAGGGAGATTGAGTAACCGGAGCACACTTAGACCGAGACACCAAGAAGGGGAGGGAATTTGAAACAATGTGATCACTGGAGATGTTTGGCCTTGAGAAGAGATATGTGATAGTTATCTATTACTGTGTGTAATAAATTACCCTAAAATTTAGCAACTTTTGGGGCACCTGGGTGGTTCAGTCAGTTAAGCGTCCCAACTCTTGATTTCAGCTCAGGTCCTGATCTCAGGGTTGTGAGATTGAACCCGCATTGGCGTCTGTGCTGGGCATGGAGCCTGCTTGAGATTCTCTCTTTTCCTCTCCCTCTGTCCCTCCCTCCCCCTCACATGCATGCTCTCTTCCTCTCTCTGTCTCTAAAAAGAAAAAAAAAATTAGGAACTCTAAACAATAAGCATTTACTGTCTCAGTTTCTGAGGGTAACTGCTTATTAGCTGGCTCATGGGGTTCCAGGCAAGATGTTAGCTGGGACTGCATGCAGTCTGCTGATGGCTCTGGGCTGGGCTAGCAGATCTACTTCCATGCTCATCTGGCAGGAGGTTTCCATTCCTTGCCACATGGGCCTTTCTATGGGATTGTTCAGGCATGGCATCTGGCTTCCCCCAAGAGAGATTCGAGAGTGAGCTCAAGCTGGAAGCCTCAGTGCCTCTTATCACCTTGTCTCTAGGCCACTCATCACTTCTTTATCCTGGTCACTAGAAAGAAGTCACTTAGTCCAGCTCACATTCAGCCAGAGAGGAATTAGGCTCCACATCTTGTGGGGATGGGTGTCAAAGCATTTGAGGACTTAGTTTTAAAGCCACCACGAGACATCTTAGAGAGGAAGGACATGACAACTGCCTTCACATATTGTGAAGCATTGTGAGAAGCTACAGGCAGCTAGATTTGGCTCCACCTAAGGAGATAAATGGTGCAAAGATGGAATAGGCATCTGGGGATAGTGGGCCTATGTCAGTGGAAGTAGCTGCTTGGCAGGGGTTGGATGATGACTTACTGGGATGTTGTGGCAGGGTTCTGGCATCGGATGGGGCATGGACTAGATCAAAGGTCATCCAGTTAGAACCCTTAGTAAATAAAGTTTTGATGGAACACAGCCATGCCCATTCATTCACGTATTGTCTGTGGCTGCTTTTATGTTACAATGGCAGAACAGAGTACGATGACACAAACCAGATGGCCTGCAAAGTCTAAAATAGTTACTGTCTGGTCTTTATAGAAAACATTTGCCAACCACTGGACCCAATGACTTTGAAGGTCCCTTGCAGTCCTGAGACACATTGTGATATATTTATTTTAATTTTTTATTTTTAAAGATTTTATTTATTCATGAGAGAGAGGCAGAGACGTAGGCAGAGGGAGAAGCAGGCTCCTTCTGGGGAGCCTGATGTGGGACTTGATCCCGGAACCCCAGGATCACACAACCTGAGCCAAAGGCAGACACTCAACCACTGAGCCACCCAGGTGCCTGAATATGTTTATTTTTAAAAGATTTTTTTCCTTTTAGGGATACATATAGAGGTATTGAAGAATGGAAATGTTGGGGGTTGTGGACTCTAAACCCAGTCAGACATGCAATGAAGGCCATGCTGTATTGTGTCAGGGCATAAAGTATATACCATTTTGCAGGTGGATGATTCTAAGATCTCAGTCCTTTTCTTTGTTTTGGCAGCTCCTGAGAGAGAGGGTTGTTTGCGTTGCTGCTGGACTGAGGCATGCTTTGGCTGCGACAGGTGATCATTTTGCTTTTATTTTCACAATAGGCTCATAATAAGGAGAAACAGAGCTTTAGAGGAAATAAAAATTGAGGAGTAATTTAGAGGGTCCTGCTGTGCTGCATTTCTGATTAAAAGAGGGGATATAGGGCCAAAGTCATTTGGGAAACCTTTGGCAGGTGGGGAGGAAGGAAATGAAGGTTTCTTGCTCATATTGTAGGCATGGTGCTAGATTCTCCTGATTTAATCAATACCTTATTTAATTCTCACAATCTCACAGTGAGGTGAGTTACATTTTTACATATGAAGAAACCGAGGGCCAGGGAGACTAAAATGCTTGTCTGAGGTTGCGCAGGGGATAGGATAGTAAAAGGTAAAGCTGGGAACAGAGTCTGGGATGGTCTAGTTTCCGAGGCTCACATTCCTTGCTGTGAACTACACTGCTTTCCTAGTGGATCTTAATGTTTATTAATTTAGAAACTTCAAATGAGCTCGTCTCCTGTACCATGAGAGGGTGGTGATGGACACGGGGCTGACTGTGTGTATGAGGTTGTGGGTGGCACACGGAGAGAGGTGGTGGCTTGCAGAAGAGCAGTGAGGCCTCTTCCTCTCCCTTGGTTGTCATCTTTCTGCTCCCACTCTCGTGGGGTGAAGGGCAGCCCTAACTGGCTGCTGCAGCTCAGGCCCAAGCATTAATGAGTCCAGTCGTACAGATCCCTGGGTGGCGCAGCGGTTTAGCGCCTGCCTTTGGCCCAGGGCGCGATCCTGGAGACCCGGGATCGAATCCCACGTCGGGCTCCCGGTGCATGGAGCCTGCTTCTCCCTCTGCCTGTGTCTCTGCCTCTCTCTCTCTCTCTCTCTCTCTCTCTCTCTCTCTGTGTGTGTGTGTGACTATCATAAATAAATAAAAATTTAAAAAAAAATGAGTCCAGTCGTGGCCTGGGGAGGGTGGAAGAAACAAGGAAGAGTCTGGTGCAGCTCTGTACCTATGGTCACCTGGGGCTTAATGAACAATATTACATATTGAACAATTTTTTAAACTTTTTATTTTGAGATAATTGTAGATTCACATGCAGTTGTAAGAAATAAAATAGATCTCATGCATTCTTTTCCCAATTTCTCCCAATAGTAACGTTTTGTGAAACTGTAGTTAGTGTAGCAGCCCAGCCAGTCTTGATACGGTCAGGATTCGAACAGTTCCATCACTGCACTGTCTCACCTGTGGCTGTTTCAAAGCACCCACTTTTATACACCCTTTTATATGCCTTTTATACATTCACTTCCTAGCTATTTCCACCCCTTCTTAGCTCCTAGCAACCGCTCTTCTGTTCTCCAACAATAGTGTCATTTCAAGAACATTATATAATGGTATCATACAGTATATAGCCTTTTGGGGTTGACTATTTTTGCTCAGCATGATTCCCTGGAGAGTCATCCAAGTTGTGAGTATTAATAATTTGTACCTTTTTATTGCTGAGTAGTAGTATTCCACAGTATAGATGTACCATTGAATTAGTCATCTCAGGCTCCCATAACAAAATATTACAAACTGGGTGGCTTAAACAATTTTCTCAACAGTTACAGAGGCTAGAAGCCCAAGATTGAGATGCCAGGAGCGTTGGTCTCTGGTGAGTCCTCTCTTCCTGAAATGTAGATGGCTGCCTTCTTGCTGTGTCGATACAGGGCCTTTGCTCTGTGCACCCATGGAGACTGGGAGACATCTGGTTCTCTTCTTCTTTTTATAAAGACACCAGTTCTATCAGATTAAGGCCTCACTTTTAAGACCCATTTAACCTTTATTAGCTCCTTACAGGCTTCTTTCCAAATGCAGTCACACTGGAGGTTAGGGGTTTAACATATGAATTTTTGGGGGCACAGTCCAGCTGACAAACAACACAGCTTGTTTAACCAGTCACCCATTGAGAGACATCTGGTTGTTTCCAGGTTTTGGCTATTAAGAATAAAGCTATAAACATTTGTGGACAAGTTTTTTTTATGTGAACATAAATTTTCATTTCTCTGGGATAGACGCCCAGGAGCATGATTGCTGAGTTGTATGGTAGTGATTACATTTTTATAAGCTGCTTCTCCTTTTAGAAATTAGCAGGACTGGAGAATTGCCTATTATTGGTTTAATTCCCCCTTTCCTACCAACTTTCTGTAATTACTAGTCTTTTGTGTACATTTCTGTCCAGTTACAAAGTAGCACAGTTTCCATTATGTGTTTGATTAACTTAATTGTAAGTCTTCCTCTCTCTTAGTTAATCTGTAAATATTTCTGCAGGCATCTCTAAAAGATAAGGACTCTTACTAAAAACATTACCAAAATGCTATCATCATACCTATAAAAAACTAACAATAAATCTATAATTCGATCAAGTATCCAGTCAGTATTTAAATGTTCTCAACCGTCTCAAAAATATTTTTTTTAAACAGTTTGCTTGAGTCAGGATCTGAATTATGTCTACGCTGCAAGTGGTGGATATAAATGTCTCTCCTTTTAAAAATATTTATTAATTCCTTGTGATTTTTTTATTGTAATAAAATATGCATAACAAAATTTACCATCTAAACCACTTTTAAGTGTACAGTACACTCATGTTATCATGCAACCATTACCACCATCTATCTCTAGAAATCTTTTCCTCTTGTGGAACCACAAATAATAACTTCCCTTTCCCTACCAGCCCGTGGCAACTAACCATTCTACTTTCTGACTCTGTGATTTTACATACAGGTACCTCATATAAGCGAAATTGTCTGGTATTTGTCCTTTTGTGGCTTATTTCACTTAGCATAATGTCCTTAAGGTCTATCCATGTTGAAGCATGTGTCAGAATTTTCTCCCTTTTTAAGGCTGAATAATATTTCATTGTTTGGATATACCACATTTTGCTTATCCATTCACCTGCTGGTAGACACTCAGGTTGCTGCCAGGTGTCAGGTGTTGTGAATAATGCCGCCATGAACACGGGTGTGTACAAATATCACTTCGAGATCCTGCTTTCGGTTCTTTAGGATTTATACCCAAAAGTAGAATTGCTGGATCATAGAGTAATTCTATTTTTAATTTTTGGAGGAACTGCCGTACTGTTTTCCACAATGGCCATACCATTTTACATTTCTGCCAGTAGTGCACAAGGGTTCCAAGTAATGCCACATTCTTGCCAACATTTGTTATTTTCTTTTTTTTTTTTTTTAATAGCAGGCATCTTAATGAGTGTGAAGTGGTATCACATTGTGGTTTTGTTTGCATTTCTTTAATAATTAGTGATGTTGAGCATCTTTCACATGTGCTTTTTGGCCATCAGTATATTTTCTTTAGAGAAATGTCTCTTCGAGTCCTTTGCTCATTTTTGAATCAGGCTTTTTTGAATTGTTGAGTTTTACAAGTTCTTGTATATATTTTGAATGTTAATCCCTTGCCAGATATCACAAGATTCTTTTAATCTATAAATTTTTTTCCTCTTCTTTTTCCCCCTTTGCAATTTATTTGTGGAAGAGATGGTAAGTTTTGTTTTATTTCAGCACTGTGTTTTGCTCACATTTTGCTAGTTGTCATCACTTATATTTCACAAAACGGGCTGATCTGTTTACAGCCTAAAGGACCATTGGTTGCAGGATACTTCCAGAGGAGTGACTGTAGATTAAATATATAAAATGTCATCTATGCATTTGTATGAGGTCCAGAACATGGGCACATGAATTAGATTCAGTGGATAGGAAGATAAAAGGCCATTCCACTGAAGGAGCGGCTATTAAGCTATCTTGCAGTCATAAATATGTATTTATTTGGTAATTAGGAATCACTGCATTTATCTTGGTGTAGTAGAAAAGACATTGCATTAGACGTTAGGACTGCTCCTGAGTCCTAGTATTTTCTCTGCTAATAGTTCCCTGTATGACCTTGGCAAATTGCATCATCTCTTCAAGCCCTCAGTTTTCTCGTCTACTAAATGTGAGGAATGGACTTGATAATCTTCAGTGTTCTTTCTTGCTGGGTCTGGAGTTTGAGTTGTCCTTCTTAGGTTGTCATGAACAAGGTGTTGTTTCAGTAATTTGACTCTGAAAGAGTGTCCTGGAACTTTTTGGAGGGAGTTGTACTACGTGAGAATTTTCTTTTGTGTGTGGGAATCAGGGTCTTAGATTGTGCTGAAGATTGGACTTGCGATTGGCTTGGTGGCAGCCAAGTCATAGGGCCCCTTGAAGCACTGAGCTGCTCCCTAGCAGGCATGTTAACTGAGAATGTATTGGGAATCTCCCATAGAATGGGGCTCCAGGAGCAATCTGGCCTTAGTCCTGGTAAAACGTTTTCTTGTTTTCCTCTTCTCCATGAGAAGCAAGTGGCACTGTGTTCCAGTGGGGGACTGGTTTGGCATCATCTGGACGGCGGTTGTGCCCTGGGCAGACTCTCCCACCATTTTTGACAGCAAAGGAACCAAGCAGAGTGACAGGTAAGGCGCTTATTTCTTGAGTCCTATATTTATTCTTTGTTAAGAAATAGTGACACAGGCATGCAGAAAACGGGTAAATGGAGTTTACTCATTATACTGCTTTTGCTGTTTTCTTAATTCCTTTGTTTTAAGTCTCTGTATTGGTTGGCCTGTTAGTCTGATTAGAATTTTTGTGGACCCAGTAAAAGTATGCCTCCTTGCTGCCAGAGTGGAACCCATTGAGAGATAGATGTAAGTCAGGTTAAGTGGAGATCAGGATGGTAGCTCTAGAACTGTTAAGAGTTAGTTTGGGAGACATGACTTAAGTGTTTGGAAATAATGCGTAGCAACAGTGAGCCTCTAGATTCTGAATCCTGGGTTGGATTTACTCACCAGGCACTGTGGCAGCTGCATAGCGTTGGCCCTGCTGAGCTCACTGCATGGCTAGGAGCAGACAAGAAGGCCCTCTCTGCAGGCGGGCACATCCGAAAGGGAGAGACCTTGGAAGGACTGTGCTTTGCAGGCCCAGTTCCTTCTCCCAAACGGAGAGCAGGACTGAGTGAGGATGTAGAGTGAGGGGCTGGGAATGTTCTTATAGGGAAATCTCTACATGGGCACATGAGGAGTGGGTAGTGACTGTCCTGCTTGTGGGTCTGTTGGTCTGTCTTTGTTGGCCATTTAACCTGTAGGGCTTTCTCTTCTATTTTTCGCTCTCAGGCTCAGTCTCTTTCAGCTCCTCTCTCTGCCCGCCTCTCCCTCTGCTCTATACTCTCCCTGTGGACAGCCCCCTGTCCCCCATATAGCACCATATCTGCATCTCCTCTTCTTCCTTTCTTCCTTTCTTCCTCTCTTACTTTGTGGCCCAGCCTCCTGAAGGTTGGCTGTAGGAAATGCCTGCACAGCAAACCTCCCCTCTCCCCTAGGTGAGAACAAAGGAGGAATTTTTGAGGGTGGGATAAGAAGTGGGGAAAGAAGGGAAGGGAAAGCCACGGTGGGAGTGATGCACAAGGTATTGGGATTGTTCTGACTTTCCTAAGTCCTGGAGGCACTCCCATTCATCTGAGGGTGAGGCTAGTCACCCTGAAGCCCAGGAGTGGAGTTGGGGAGGCTACTCTGAGAGAAGGAGAAGGGGGCATTAGATGCTGGACAGGCAGTCCACTGCACCTGACCTTGAACACATTCATAAAATAAATGCATACTTCCCAAACGTTTTTTTTCCTGCCTCCTCTGGGTATTCACTGCTCCCTGGGCATTTCCTGCTCTCTCATTCCTCTGTGTCTTCGGGCAAGCTCTCACCCCTGCCTGAGATGTCTCTCTTCCTGTTCCTTCTGGTAATCTTTATTCTGTCCTGATAATTTTTGAAGGCTTAGCTCAGATCCAGTTTTCTCAGGGAAGAGTCTTCTCTCTTCTGACTCCATTGCATTTTCTTCATGTGCACAGATAGCACAATGTCCTGTATTATGCATGTTTTTTTTTTTTGTATTATGCATGTTTATATGTTTTCCCACATGCCAAAGACTGTGAGCTTTTTAAGGGCAGGAACTGTACTTGCTTTCTGTTTCAGCACAAGACCTGTAATTGAAAGGAATCAGAAATGCTTTTATTTGATTTAAATGACCTTTTGGGGGTCTGTTTGGGGCCCAGCTTAGATTCTGAGTTGATTGGGGGAGTTTTCTGATGGGACATTAGAATAGATTGTGAGCTTCCTGCCTTCAGAGTCTTTCCCCCCCCCTTTTTTTTTTTTCCCCTCCATCGTTACTTCCTCGCCACTGTTTCTGTAGCTGCAACCCTGGACGTCCTCTCCTCGCCGGCCCACAGGCCCCATGCTTCCTCTCTGGTGAATGTGTTGAAAATACCTGCTTTGTCCCTTTTCATTCCACAGGATACTAGAAGGTGTGAGAGAGCATTTTATTAAGATACTAATGAATAATTAAACAGAAGTGTCAGAGAGAGTTACAGGATAAGACTGCATTTCTCCACATGCTAGACCCAGTGACCACCGTTTCTAGCAGAGTTGGTTGAGATTATGACCTGTCAGCGAAGGCAGTGTAATTAAGGGAGGAAAAGTGCTAGATTTGGAGATGGAGGGCTGGTTCAAATTCTTAGACCTGCCTGTGTGTTCTTTGGAGTTCTGGGTTTGCCTGCACGTGATGGCAGGCAACATGGGATGTTGTCACTTCTGGGCCTGCTCATGGACAGAGCTAGGGGATAGATGTGGCACACACATATTTACACATATGTACACCCATGTCTATATGTCTGTCTCTACTAGGAACTGACTTTACAATGGCTGCTCCAATTACAATCCAGGATCACATGGTTAATTCTAGCCTTCCACCTTTTTATGTCTGTACCTTTCCTCTCCTCCCTGATAGTGAGAAATCTGGCTCCTTTCTCCTCAGTATATTTTCTTGTTTGTTCAGTCCCTTGGTATGTATTCAGTCTTCCCAGCACATCATCCATCTTCCTGGCCAGTGCCACCGATTCTATCCTGCCTGCTTTGGCTCCAAGTTTCTTTTGGGCCCTGGGGGCAGCCTGAGCCCCTTCTCTGCCCAATCTGTTCTACGTGATTGCAAAAAAAAAAAAAAATTTTTTTTTTTTTTTTGGTAGGCCTGGAGAATTCTAAAACAGTCTGTGTTCTTGCTGGCTCAGATCATTCCGCTTCATTGACAGGTAGGTACCAACAATTTGAGTCCAACATGCCATTCAGAGTTCTGCACATTTCTGCCTCATGTGGGGTGGATACTGGGACATGGAGGGAAGAGCATGGACTAGGAGTCAGAATTTTGTTGCCACCCCTGGGTCTCGTCTTAGGAATCATTTTACCTTCTGAGTCTGTTGCCTTCTCTCTCAAATACTCTATGGGTAGTTTTAAGAAGTAAATATGAAAATACATGTAAGGCATCCCCATGAAGGAAGCATAGGCTCATTTCCTTTCCTCTTACTTGTACAGTAGGGATAAAAGTATCCTCCTCCCAGGGTAGCTGTGATCACCAAGTCATACAGCCAACAGTTAGTTGGTGTAGCATATTGTGGTCTTATCCACCGGATCCATTTGACATCTAATACAGCTGTCTGTTCTCTCCAGCTGTTTGCTCTCAGACTAACCTGTTCTATCCGGCCTCTGTCTTCCAGTGCATTTATCTACTTCTCTGCTCTGGCTGTATTCATCTACTCTTTATTTATCTGTTTATCTTCATTTTTATTTACCTTTCATCTTTGTATCTTATCTATCTCTGTGTCTATATGTCTTTCTAAATCGAGTCCTGCACCTATTTTTCTCATCTATTTTGTATCTTTATGCATTTTTTCTTTATGCATTTCTACAATCTAATTCATCTCTTTGATCCCTCCATCTCTGTCTAATCTGTTTTTCTCTCTCACGCTATCTCTCTCTTTTTGGTGATGCATCCTTCTATTCATTCGACACACCCTGCCAATACCTACAAACTTTCCAATGACAGTGCAGCATTTTCTTGGAATTGAAGGTTATCTCTTCCAAAGTTTCTCTTTCAAAGCCAAGATTGACCAGATCCCTACCAGTATACTGAGACAAGAGCTCTGGGAGATTTATATTGGTAACTGGAGCTGAACGCAGGACTTTTTTTTTAAGCAGAGGGAAATGACTTTCTTACATAGAGTTTTCAGTGTTTTATGTGGAAATTAAGGTGTGTACACAGCATGTATAAATTAACGGTGACATGCATTCTGCAACATCAAATGTGTAATATAATCCAACTGAGAAGCTGCCACTGTTTCCAGAATACAAGAGCCATAATGTGAGAGTTAAAATATGTTACAAACTCTAAACTACAGATAATTCATATTTAGACAAATTCAAAACAACCAACTAACAAAAGAAATACCTACTTTTTTAGCTTGTCTCTCATCTTAGGTAGACTTACATATACGTTAAAAGGGTTGAGTTGAAGTGAATGCCAGTTGTTAAGGATGCCCCCTAGGGTGAGAGGTGACGAGTTCATGCCCCACAGCCAGGAAGGTTTGAGGAAGACACTCTTTTCTGAGAATAAGAGTATAATAAGAGATGTTTCTGTTCTGTCCTAATTAATTTGAAATGGCCAATATATGTAAATTTAGAGATTCTCTAATTGCCTGCTAATAATTTCTTCAAAAATCTTAAATTAGTGAAATTATTTATTACTTCATATGTGGAACGCTTCTATCATGCTATTTTTAAAACATAGGGGTTGAATTTTTGTTTTATTGAGAGAGAATTCATATATAAAATTAACTCCTTTAAGGGGCATAATTTAGTGATTTTTTTAGTATGTTCACAAAGGAAATTGGTTTTTGATATTTTGAAAGTGAGTTAAAAATTGTCAAGATTAATATCCCTCCTTCTCGGTCCAGTTTAGTTCAAGCTGTTACACATCGGATTTTGTTTATTGCTCTTTAGACCTTTTCTCTGGAGTTGTGGTAGATTATATAACTATTTGGCATTGCAGCAAAATGTAATTTGGCTGCTGATGTAACAGTGTAATGATCCGCATGTGGAAGACAGTTTATCTTTGCAGAAAGATGGTTTAGACTTTCTAAGACAAATGAAGGCTTATTACCGAGTCAGGCTCACTGTCAATGGCATCTTGGTGGCTAACCGGTCCATTAAATGGGTTGAGACTTTGCTGAGGGACTTCTCCGCCCTCTTAAGGGATCTTCATACTTTGTACACTGTGGTGAAGTCCCTGGAGGTTGCCCTCTCTCAGGGCATGAAGTACACCAAATTCACATCATCAAACTGCAGAATGTCCATGCTACAAGGTCATCTGAGTGATAGAATGGCTCCACTGATTTACACTTCCTCTTTTTAGATCTGATGAGACAGGCCCAGAATGTGAACTGATACACCCAGTGTCAAAGACCCAAAGTCAGCTCTCGGACTTGAACCCCGAATCTTGGTTTGATGTCCTTTAATGATACTGTTTGGCTTTATACCAGACTGCCCTATGGCAAGCAATACTGGGAAGATTTTTGGGAGGTCACAAAATGCAGTGGAAGCAGAGGACTTGGCTTCTAGTTCCACTTGACTTCTTATTAGCCATGTGATCTTGAGAGTCATTTAACATCTTCAGGCCTTAATTATCTTCTAGAAGAATGCTGTCTAATAGAAATATAATGTGAGCCACATTTCAAAAAGTAAAAAGCAGGTAAATAAATTTTAATAGTGTATTTTATTGAACCCAATATACCTGCAGTATTATTTCAACCAGTAATCCATATGAAAGTTGAGGAGCTACGTGTTTTTTTTTTTTTTTATGCTAAGTCTTTGCAGTCTGTTGTGCTTTTCTTTGTTTTACGACACATCTCAATTTGGACTGGTTACATTTCAAGTGTTCAGTAGCCACATGTGTGTGCTGTGTGATGTGCAGTACAATGTGGAAAGGTAGGATGTTAGGGTTGGTTGGAAAAGCTCTTAGAGATCATTCAGGGAGTCACAAGCTGTAGGTTCATGGGCCAAATTGTGCAGCTCATGGCTCCATTTGGTCTGGCTTCCATTCATTTGAACATGAATGCTGGTTAGAGAAGCATGTGCCCTGAGGCTTTCCACTGTGGCCCACGAAGCCTCTCTTGTGGCCAGTGTCATCAGTTACACTGTCTGCCCTTCTAGGCCATCCACCCTCCCTTCCAATTTTCAGCTGGTGAAACTAAGGCTTAGGGAGTGATTTGTCCAAGGTCAATAGCTAGTTAGCAGGTCCAGGAATAGAAGCCAGATTCATTTGACTCTGAATTTGCTCTCTTTATGTGAATTCACAATGTCAGTCATTTGCATTCGTGCATATACCTCGGGAATGCCAGGAGGTTCAAATGAACTACCGTGCTGCATGGATGGGAGGTAGCAATGTTGCATGCTTCCTTTCTGCTAGGCGGGGCATTTTGTGAAATAATCTTAGATCTGGAAGGTTTAAGCTTAAATAATATGTATTTTAACCTGTTATTTTAAAAAGTTAATATAAACTTTTCATAACCAAAGGCAATGCAAGCATATATATTTTTAAAGATGGAGAAACATGTTTTTCTCATGGTAAATGTTCAATAAATATTTGTTGAATGAGGCAGTGAAAAAATAAACTCACACGTTCCTGTTCCTTGACAAAGGAACATTTGGCCTTGTTTCCTGTTTAGACATGAATTTTGTATCCTGCTCTGCTCTAGTGAACATTATAGCATAAGAATAATACAACTTCTCTTAACCACTTTTTTTTTCAGATTTGTGTTATTTTCCATCATTTTGAACTAATGTTCCTTCACCTCTTTTGTTCCCCTTCTGTTTGTTTAAGATGCAGGAGAGCTGTATGTTTGGGGAAGCAACAAGCATGGACAACTGGCTTCCTTGGCTGCTTTCCTTCCTAAGCCCCAGAAAATAGAAGCACATTGTTTTCAGAATGAAAAGGTCACTTCTGTCTGGAGTGGGTGGACACACCTGGTTGCTCAGACAGGTGAGAGAGCAGCAGAGAATTTGTGGTTGGTAAGAGCAGTGGGGCGGGGGTGGGGGATGGGATGGGAGGACAGCTGTCTAAATAGCTATGAATGCTCAGGACTGAGTAGGTGGGTTTTTACTATGAAAAGCTCTAAGGATTGGGACGGGGAGGACTTGAGTTCTGCAGTCAGCCAGATATGGAGCTTTCCTTTCTGGATCCAAGGTTTGCACCCAAAGAGTCAGGGCTAGGTAGATGAACTCTTTTTGGCCTCGTGAATATATGATGTCTTGTGAAGGAATCCATTGTAGCAAGCATCACCCAGAAATTTGCCCAGGTTGTTGGGGCATCTTTTCCTTGTCATAGCTGAAGAGATGACTCTACTTGCATTTCCACCTGAGTCTAAAAGACTTTAGAAACTTTTTAAAAAGATTTTATTTATTTATAAGAGACACACAGAGAGGCAGAGACACAGGCAGAGAGAGAAGCAGGCTCCCTGTGGGAAGCCTGATGTGAGACTAGATCCCAGGACCCCAGGATCAGACCTGAGCCAAAGGCAGATGCTCAACCGCTGAGCCACCAAGGTGCCCCAGCCTTCAGAAACTTAAAGATTAATATTTCAAGATTGAGGCAAGAGCATTATTTTGAATCATGACTGACATGATATTTTGATTTAAATTTCCACTAACCCTAACAAACCACATACATTGATTCAGACATCCTATATTTTCCCTCAGATGTTACCTTATTGTGCTACACTATCCAGCTTTTGGCATCTTTATCTTTTCTTGAGTCTTTATATATTTCTCATCTTTCCCTTAGGGCAAGTTTTCTTTTGTGGTCTTTGTATTGCTGATTTTTTCCCCTGGGTTTGTTTTTTTATGGCCTCTTCTTGCCTGCCTTCCTAGAGCTCCTGCTGACTTATGTAGAATTTCCCAGAGAGACTATTTTATTTTATTTTTTTTAGATTTGTTTGTTAATTTGACAGAGACCACAAGCAGGGGGAGTGGCAGGCAGAGGAAGAAACAGGCTTCCCAAGGAGCTTGATCCTAGGACCCCAGGGTCATGACCTAAGGCAGATACTTAACTGACTGAGCCACCCAGGCCCCCCCCCCCCCCCCCAGACAGGCCATTTGTAATTCTTGAGATCTATTATCATGTCCCAGCCTCTTGAACATCAGGAGTTCTCAGGAGTCCCTTTGCCTGCCCTTGGCCTGCTTGTTAGCTACACAGGGATCTCCAGGCTCCCAAATACCTACTGGTGACTGTTAGTTATTCCAGCGCCTTGTGGCTTTTGTAGGTTTTCAGGTCAGCTTCAGTTATCCCTAGGAAGTCACACGCACGACACACTGGAACACAGACACTTAGGAGTATTAATGCCTGTGATGCTTTTAATTGGTTTTTAAACATTTTTTTTTATGACCATTTTGGAACAGAGGCCTGTAATAACAAAGATACAAAGTAAACTTTCCATATTGACCACTTCAGAGATTGCTGTAAAGGGCAAAAACATGCGTGACTTTCCTCAAAGAGATGGAGACTACTAGAAAATGGTGACGGTCTACAAAAACTTCTTTTTAAAGATTTTATTTATTTATTTGAGAGAGAGCATGAGCAGGGATAGGGGCAGGATAGGGCTCCCTGCTGAGCAAGGAGCCTGCTGCAGGGCTCAGTCTGAGATCATGACCTGAGCTGAAGGTAACTGAGCCACTCAGGCGCCCCTACAAAAACTTTTCTTAAGGAGACTCATTGAGCATAGTAGTTGTGTATTTGTATAATTGTTCACATTTGCCTTTTACCCTAGACAGTGAGCTCTGTGAGGGAGAGCACCGTGTTAGTCTCACTTCTCTATCTTCACTTTTTAGTGAAAAGAGAGTAAATATCTTCAAATACAGTGAGTCAGGGTGGACAGCGAGGATTTTTTTTTTTTTTAAGATTTTATTTATTCATTCATGAAAGACAGAGAGGGGGATCCCTGGGTGGCTCAGAGGTTTAGTGCCTGCTTTTGGCCCAGGGCGCGATCCTGGAGTCCCGGGATCGAGTCCTGCATTGGGCTCCCGGCATGGAGCCTGCTTCTCCCTCCTCCTGTGTCTCTGCCTCTCTCTCTCTCTCTCTCTCTCTCTCTCTCTCTCTCTCTCTCTCTCTATGTCTATTATAAATTAATAAATAAATCTTAAAAAAAAAAGATTAAAAAAAAAAAAGAAAGAGAGGGAGAGGCAGAGACTTACTTTGTATTCACGAGTCCAAGCAAATCAGTTACTGTGTATTGGGAACCTATTGAGCAGTGTGGTGAGTGTTGGAGCAGACCTGGGCTGTGCCCTCCCTGGAATGTGTAGATAGGCCTGAGTCTAAGAATATAAACATGGAAGACTTTACCATCCATTCAGCCATCTGTCCGTCCATCATACAAATGGTGAGGGTCTATTTATGTACCACGCCTTGTACTAGCTATATACATCCTACCCCCCGGAGCCCCCTGTCTCCTGGGGGAGGCTGACCTGTTACCCAACTTTGGTACATTGCCGTGGGAGATAGCAACAGTGGAGCTAAGTACAGTGTGCAGAAGTAGCACAGGAGGTGGCAGTGGTGTGAGTAACTGGGTGTTAACAGGTGGGTGTTTCGTGGCTAGTCAGTCTTCAAAGAACTACCGTGTGGTAGAGTACACTTACTACCAAATGGCAGTGAGTTTGGTTGAGTCTTCAGTAAACCCTTTAACTAGTTAGGTAGCCGAGTAACGAAAGGCAAGGTGCTGCTTCTTGGGTGCTAGCTTTGTAGCATCATAACCCACACTGCTTTCCACATCTGGGCCAAAGCCCAGCCCTCGGGGTGGGAGGTTGGAACCCACGGCCCTGACACTGAGTCACCCCAGCTGCTCGAGAGCTCCGCTTCACATCACCACCTCCACTTGACAGCAGGATTTTTTGGTAATGTTTCAGCTGTTTAATTAACTTGTTAATTGAGATCTCTTGTTTATGTACTCTGTCACTTTCCCCTTTCTCCATCGTTCCAGAATGGTTGTAAGCTGGGATGTCTGAGTGTCCTGGCTGTTGTACTGAATTTGGGTAAATGGGAGTCTCCTGCTATTTGATTCACCAATTTTGTGCTCTTTCTAGCGTCAGTGGAAGCTTTTGCCCTGGCCCAGTGTCGCTGAGAGGAAACACCCTGGGCTTCCAGTTTAATCAGACTCAGCTGCTCATATTAACAGGAATAAGATTTGCTCACAGGGTCAGGAGTAGCTCATTAGTGGAACAAGGAGTTATTTGACTCCGGTTGTTTCTATAAGCTCCAGTGGTGAATTGCTCCTGGGACTTACCTGGAGGCCACATCAGCACAGAGCCTGCCCTCAGTCTCAGTCTGGAAGGCATTAATTGTGTGATATTGATTAAGAGGAGGATTTATGAACACTGGCCATGTGTCTATCTGGTTAGATGGGACGGGATGGGGTGGGTTAGGAGAAGAGAGAGGGGGGTGGACTCTGCTTTTCCCCTTCTGCACAGTCCCTACTCTAGTGCTTCTCAACTGCAGGTGATTCTGTGCCCCCGGGATTGATGGCAAGGTCTGGAGATGAATTTGGCTGGCACAGCTGGGGGGTGCTACTGGCATCTAGGCAGTAGAGGCCACAGATGCTGTACAACATCCTGTGATGTGCAGGACAGTCCCCCATAACAAGGCAACACCTAGCCCCAGATGTTCGTCTTACCACCATTGAGATATGCTGCCCAAGACTGACATGCATCCCCCGGTGGTAGGTGCTTACTTGGGCAGTTTACGTGGTGGCAGGGTAACTTCACAGCTCATCTGTATGGGAATCTTGGGATGCAGTCTTTGCCTCCCCCTCCGGGAGTCTGGTGCCTGCCTGCCTGCAGTGTCTGCGATGGAAAAATACTTTTCTCTGTTAGTCAGAGGCACTTGGAAAGAGTCCAAGAGAACCTGTTCTAATCTGGGAAAGTTGGCAAGGATACCTGTGTCTCAGGATGGAAGAGCTGCATTCTAGAAACCTTTCTGAAGCTGCTTAATGTCCCTGATCATTGTTCTCAGGAACTTCGCGGGACTCTTGGGTGACTTTATCCAGGCTCAGTGACCTGCAGCCATCTCATCCGAGAGTCCTGATTTCCTGGCCCGAGATGCTTCTAGTGAGGTCTGGGTGGCAGATGTGGGTGCCTTCCTAGCTTGGCAACCTTGGTCAAGTCACTCTACCTGTCTAGGCCTCAACTTCCTCATCTCTCAAGTAGGATATTAAAACCTGCCTGCATTCTACGTTGGGTTGTCATGAGGGTTAAATGAGTGAATCTGTGTGAAAGATCCCAGCTAACTGTAAAATGCTGTCCACACCTAAGTGAAGGGTGCCTGCAGATGGGATATGTGCGTATGTTAAGGAGTGAGCAAGAATTTTAGAAGGACTTCTATGTCAGTAGGGTCTGTGCAGAGCTTGAGACATACCAGGTTTCCCTCCAAGGGCTTATGAGCTGGCCAGAGATGCTCAATGTCCAGCTCTGTGAGGGAAAGTTGCCTAAAGTTTTTCATTTACACACAAGCCAGGAAGTGGCTTTTTCATTTTGTCAACAGTTAGGAAGGCCTTCGTGGCCTTAAGAGTTTTCCTGTGAAAATCTCTGATCACAGTATTGCTCCTTCTCGGTACACATCCCAGTTTATAGTTGTATACATCCGTGTGTTTTCTTCTTTAATGCCTAGACTGTGAACGCAGCGTCTGTTTGGCTCGTGGCTCTGTCCCCAGCACCTGGCATAGGCCTGGCACATCATAAATGGTTAGTAACTAAAGTTGCGGAATGAATGAATAAAGGGCAAGGTAAAAAGCAAGGTGGGCTTTGAAGTCAGACAGGCCTGCGTTTCTGGATCTTAGCTCTGTCAGCCTCCTGATTCTGTGGCTGTGGTCAGCCCCAGCTCTCTCCACCTCCGTTGCCACCACCGTGGGGCAGGCCCCTGAAACCTCTTATTTGGGTCCTGCAGTGGTCTCCGACTTTCTCATCTTCCTATGCTCCTTCCCCACAACGACTTGTTCT